CAGCTCGGTTGGAGTGTTGCCAACGAGACAAACTTGCAACAACACATCTGCTGCCCCAGTTTATATGCAAATGGATGTTGCAACGCCTTCCAGTTGGCCAACACATGATTACGACTCTGCTGATTGGCTGTTAAGTGCAAATGATTTTTGTTGCTGCCAAACGACAATATGCACACACAAACACACTCACTCAGTTATCCTTGCTGCATCAATGCGACAGTTATCCTTGCTTGCAACAAAGAATTCACATTTGCTACATTCTCACAATTCGCAATATCCATTTGGCTGAGAGCACTACTTGAATGCGTTCGCATATCCTTTTATACCCAAAGGGGCATTACAGCTTAGCGATGAGGTAATAAGTTAAAATTTATGAATTTTATCTTTAGACGAATCATTACTCTTTATTATATACTTCAAATGGTTTTCTGTAGTCTAGGAAAAAAGAAGAAAAATAAATACATTAAATAGCGCATTTCAATAATAATTTTTCAACTTTTTTTGGCTTCCCCGAAATCTAAAATTTAAATATGTTAATCTGGGTATCAATCAGAAAAGAACTTAGGTTATGGTTTCGTTTCGGAACGTAAATCTTTTGCTAAAAATGATGAATATTTTGCATCGTTTTTTTGCGGTTCCGTTTTGGAAACTTGACTTTTTAAGGCTCGGTACCGGTACGAAGCAGTACCAAACAAAAGCCTTAAAAAACTGGACAATACAAATACATATATATATAGAATGGATGTACATATATCTCTTTGTTTCGATTCGTTAATAATAATAATATCGGTTCCTGTGACTGGGTCTTCTAGTTAAAGAACAAATAACGTGGAGTTCCGGTTCCGGTTCTAAGTTTTGATTGGATATTTTCCATTTATAAGTTCACTAACCTTAGTTGCCTGATTTAATTATACTGATATTTAATTCAATGATATTAACTGAATAACAGTGATGCTCATTTAGCTTTTTTCTTCTCTCAGCTGAACATGCAACGCAATTTGACTTTAGTTTTATTTGTAATTTTATCTAGTGTTTATCTTATTATATCTAAGATATCTTAAAGCATCTTTCTGCTATTCTACACATTAATAGTTGAGTCATCTCGCATAAAGTGTTACTAAAGAGCATTTCCACTTCGACTTGCAATTAACATTTAGTTTTTTAGCGCGGACTGCTTTCCATTTAGATGAGAGCGTAATTTGTGTTGCTTTTGTGTTTTTCATGCTGCTGTTGTGAAATATTATACACATTTTATTCCACTCGTCGTCGCATTTGCTTAATTTTTTTATTTTTATTTTTTTGCTTATTTTCATTTTGGCGACATTTCAAATTCAGAGAGTGTCAAACGCGTGCATTGACATGGAGGCCACAAGTGCGTCCGCATCCCATTTCCATGGTGTATCTGTGTCTGTGTGTGTGTGAGAGAGTGTGTGTGTTAATGCGAGTGTGTTGTGTATAGGTGTATGTGTGTGTTTTATATGTGCTTTAAGAAATTACACGACACAGCCTACAACAAAACATGAGCATTTGTTCTTGTTTGTTTTGCATTTTCACTGTTGCCTGCCACTGATTGTTATTTCCCGAATGAACGGGGGGGAATGGGATTTTCTATACCCTGTGCTCATGAAACGCATAAAGTCTCTGCTCATGTTGCTGTATAAATTTATGTTGGAGGCTCTAATAGGTTACTTCTTTTGATTGATGTAGCAAGTAATTGTGCTTGTCAAACGAGAGTCGAAAGGAGTTCACAATTAAACAGAATATCTTGAAGAAAAGCGAGAAAGCTGACAAGAGATTGTAAGAAATGGATTCCGATTCTCTCCTTTATTAACATGCTTTGTGATCTTTTAAGAGTGTCAGCTACTTTTTTTCACTGGAAGAATTGTTTTACTTTGTTTTCAATTATATTTCTAGCTTACACTTCAAAGGGTATTTGTTAGTCGAGCAGTTGCAACGCGTGCACTCTTCACTTGTTGTTGGTGTTGCTGATGCGGCCGTCGTCATTGTTGCTTGTCGCCTGCCGCTTGTCGTTTGTCGTTTGTCGCCCCCGAAACAACCCCAAACAATCAAAACTGCTCGGTCATTCATGGCAAACTTTATCCAAACGCGAGGGTGTTGTGCAAGCTGTGGGAATGGAGAAATTGTGGGTGTGGGGAGGGGGAGAAGGAGGGTTAGGAAATTATTATGAGTTGCCCATTGCCGCCGTTGCACGTTGCTCGTTGCGCGTTGCACACGTTTGGCTACCTAAGTGTGCACGTAGCGATGCTCCAAAAATGTTGAAACGCTGCCCGGCCGGTAATAATGTGGGCAATCTGCTCTATTTTTAGTAGCCGGCAAAAAGTGGGAAGCGCGCTGTGGCGGAGAGTGCATATCGCAATCGAGACAGCTGTTGCCACGTCAATGCGGGCCAGAACCGGTCTGCGTTTGTGCCTGAGCCTGGGCAGCTTCATTTAGGCCATTTAAATGGCTGCTGCCTCACAGATCCAACCGCAAACAGAGCGACGGAGGGAGGGATGGGGGGATGGGGCATGCGTCAGACAACAGCGTAACAAACACACCTAAAATGCTTTGTCTGCTCGGCAACGGTTGATAGTCGTGCTGGTGCTGGTGCTCCTGTTGCCTGCCACTGAGTGTGTTAATATTTGCCCGACTTAATTAAAAATCTTTTCTAATTTGCATAAAGTTCATGTCAGGGTGCCATTTATTGCGGTTTTGTTATGCTGCCTATTCAGCGTCACCTAGGTGGAGCCACTGAGTATTTTGACAATTGGGAAAGTGCGACAGAGATGGAACCTGGAAGATGGAATTTTGGGCAAAAGCTTAAACAGTTGATTGCATTTGCTAATATTTTAATCTAACAAAATGATGTAAACTTTGGAAAGTTTATTCATATTTCACTAGTTTATACTATTAATTGTGATTTGAAATAATGAATTTAGGCATCTATTGGCTTTAAATATGATTTTGCACACTTTGCAAACTTAAAACGCACTTAAAAATTCAGCGCTATAAAAAGTACATATATATACATGTAGATGGCGCCACTATACGTACCCCTTTAAAACGTAGAGTTCAGGAAACATCGTAACAATATTTGATAGCATTGAGCAGTTGCTCGAATTTCATTTTGTTTCGTACATAATCATTTGCTTTGTTTGGTTTGGTTGTTTTTTGATCCCGCACCCACATTCCTGTTGACACTTTTCTTCTATATAAATATATATATATATATATATATATATATGTATGTATAATTATAAATAGCGTAGATGGCGCCACTGCACTCGCCTGGTTGAATGTGACGGCAATAGAGGTCTCAAATTTCCAGCCAACTCGGCCTTTTGTTTGCTCTTCTCATCCGCCCCCCTCATGCTCCTTTTGCGTGCCGGCTTTCATTCCATTCCACACTAATTAACGAAATGCACTTGCCTCAGTTTTTCGCCCCCCAAGGAACGCTTTCAAATTGAAATTACAAGCAGACGAAGAAAAAAGAAAATAAACGCGTTGACGTCGCCCACAGCCATTGACAATAATTATGGTGGGCGACAAAAAAAAAAGAAAAGAAAAATAAAAATCGAGCAAAAAGGTAAAATAGCCAAAAGGGTCTGCCGACGAGTTTGAGGCAATATTTATTTTTCCATTTTATTGCATTCATTTTGTCACTAAAGAAAATATTGCTGCCGGGCTAATTGGAGCGGCATTTAAGCGTTGCAACAGTAATCTTAATCCACTAAATGTGCCAGCTGCTTTTGGTGTGGTCATTCCTCTCCTCACAAGCAGCACTCATGAAATGCGCTGTGTGTGTCAAGCACGTACTTCAAATGGTCCATACAACAAAACTAACGACTGCTGCACGGCAAGATTTCAATTAAAGTCCACACACACAACGTGATTACAGTCGCAATCGCAGTCGTCGTTGGGGCAGCAGCAAGAGCAGAAGCCACGCCCAGTTGCCCAGGTCGTCCTGACCATATGGACACGTCACATGCCGGCAATCAGCGGCTTTTATGGCTGCACACAGGCAACAGAGGCTTGGCCTTCTCGCATTCTTTCTGCCCACATAGTTTATACACTGTAAACAAAATGTGTGCTGAATGAATTAAATAAATACACTTTATAAATACTTTCATTAGACAAAAGCAATTAAAACTTTACTTTTATAAAATACTTTTCACAACACCTTCAATGTTCTCCCGCCTCTAATCATTTTAATAATTTTATGTTTTGCCTACAAATTTTTCCCGGTGCCTCCGGGTACTGATACATGATAAATACATATTTACCTTGAGCTATGTCGTCCTGGGCGTGTCCGTTTGCCTATTAAGCGTAACGAGCATGTGCGTCTATGACGCATTTTGCAACACTGTTGCAGCGCAATTAAGTAACAACAGAAAATCCAATAAATTCGACTTTGGGATGCACTTGCTGCTCCTATTCCTCCTGCTCCTGCGCCTGCTCCTGCTCCACGGGGAGATCTGCAATAAAGGAAAAAAGATGGGAAAAAAAAAAAGATATCTGCGCCATTTAATGAAAAATGTAACAAAGTAAAACGAGGGGCGTCTCGTCAGCAGCAGCAGCAACAAGCAAAACTCCCCAGTGACTGACGCCCCACATTGGCACTAGCCCCAGTTCCTCCTCCTCCTCGTCCTCCTCCTCCTGCCATGCTCATCGTACACAACTTACACATGCAAATGACTGCAATAAAAATGGCAGGCTGGCAACTTTTATGATTGCGCTGCTCTGCAACATTTGGGGGCAGTCAGAGTGGGTATATTACACTTGTGTGCGTTGTTTATTAAACGCAAACGATTTAGCAGTAGTTTTTATATGAATTCCAGCCACAAAACGGGTTATTAAATCTAAATTATGATTGAAAAGAAAATCCGTTCAATTTTGATAAGCTTATCGCAGCGGCAAGCTTTCAAGCCTGCAACAACATTCAGCAGAGTTCTTTTACTTAACAGTTAACACAACTTCTAATCACTTGTCTTTATTTGCAGGCTCTCACCAAATTCCAAACGTCACAAAAGGTCACCAATAAGACGGGCATCGAACAGGAGGAGACGCTGCTCAATGAGTCAGCCGCACGCGAAACCTCGCTCAATCTGCAAATACTCGAACTGGAGAACGAATCGAAGCAGCTGCGACATGAGCTGGAGCGTGTGCGCAACGAACGGGATCGCATGCTGCAGGAGAACTCGGACATTGGACGCGACAAGAGCGACAATGAGGCAGACCGGCTGCGTCTCAAATCCGAGCTAAAGGATTTGAAATTTCGCGAGACACGCATGCTCAGCGAATACTCCGAACTGGAGGAGGAGAACATATCGCTGCAGAAGCAGGTCTCCAGCCTGAGAAGCTCGCAGGTAAGTTCTCAAGTTGGCCATTTACTTAAAGTTGCCACTAAAAGTGTCTTTTGGTCAACAGGTGGAGTTTGAGGGTGCCAAACATGAGATACGTCGCCTTACCGAGGAGGTGGAGCTGCTGAATCAGCAGGTCGATGAGCTAGCGAATCTCAAGAAGATTGCCGAAAAGCAAATGGAGGAGGCGCTCGAGGCACTGCAGGTAAAGACAAAATATCCTCCTAATAAAGATTTCAAGCATCTCTTTTTAACACATCTGTTTCCATCTTTCCCTCAGGGCGAGCGTGAGGCGAAATATGCGCTGAAAAAGGAGCTGGATGGTCATCTGAATCGCGAGTCCATGTATCACATCAGCAATTTGGCCTACAGCATACGCAGCAATATGGAGGATAATGCCAGCAATAATTCCGATGGCGAAGAGGAGAATTTGGCACTGAAACGTCTCGAGGCGGATTTGAGCACAGAACTCAAATCGCCCGATGGCACCAAATGTGATCTCTTCTCCGAGATCCATTTGAACGAGCTGAAGAAACTGGAAAAGCAGCTGGAATCGATGGAGAATGAGAAATCGCATTTGACAACCAATTTGCGTGAGGCGCAAAGCAGTCTCGACAAGTCACAAAATGAGCTGCAGAACTTTATGTCACGTCTCGCACTGCTGGCCGCCCATGTTGATTCCCTTGTGCAGCTCAAGAAACAGATTTGTGTCAAGGATCAGACGAGCGGCGGCGGCAAGGATAAGGATGAACAATTCCAGCAACAGATGCGTACGATTTGCACACAATATGCCAATTGGTTTATGCTCTCCGCCAAGGAGATTGACGGCCTTAAGACTGACATTGCCGAGCTGCAGAAGGGTCTCAACTATACGGACGCCACCACCACTCTCCGCAACGAGGTTACCAATCTGAAGAACAAACTGCTCTCCACCGAACAAAAGTCACTCGATCTGCAGAGCGATGTTCAAACGCTGACGCACATCTCACAGAATGCTGGCCAGAGTTTGGGCTCGGCACGCAGCACTCTGGTTGCGCTCAGCGATGATCTGGCGCAGCTGTATCATCTGGTCTGCACTGTGAATGGCGAGACGCCATCGCGTGTCCTGCTCGATCACAAGAGCGACGATATGAGGTGGGTTCCCCGCTCCTCTTGTCCATCTTAAATCCATTTCCCAAATGACATCATTTCTATCTCCCTTCCAGCTTTGAGAACGATTCGTTGACTGCCATCCAATCGCAGTTCAAATCGGATGTTTTCACTGCACGCCCGCAAATTGTTGAGGATCTGCAGGGCTTGGCGGATTCGGTGGAGATTAAAAAATATGTCGACACCGTCAGCGATCAGATCAAGCATCTGAAAACGGCCGTCGAGCACACAATCGATCTGAACAAGCACAAAGTGCGCGCCGAGGGAGGTGAATGTGAGTACTCCAGCAAAGAAAAAAAGAGAAAAATCTTTGTTTACAACTTACTTTACTTTGCAGCCGTGGAGAAGGGCAACACCGAGGAGGTGGAGGAGCTGCAGGAGCAAATTGTCAAGCTCAAGAGCCTGTTGTCCGTGAAACGCGAGCAAATTATCACGCTGCGCAATGTGCTCAAGTCAAACAAACAAACCGCCGAGGTGGCACTCACCAATCTCAAGTCCAAATACGAGAACGAGAAGATCATTGTCAGCGACACCATGTCCAAGTTGCGCAACGAGCTCCGACTGCTCAAAGAGGATGCGGCCACCTTCTCCAGTAAGTAAATCAATGTAACTCTAAATACTTCAACTAATATACTTATTTTCATATACAGGTCTGCGCGCCATGTTCGCCGCACGCTGCGAGGAGTATGTTACCCAGGTGGATGATCTGAATCGCCAGCTGGAGGCTGCCGAGGAGGAGAAGAAAACGCTCAATCAGCTGCTGCGCTTGGCCGTCCAGCAAAAGCTGGCGCTCACCCAGCGTTTGGAGGAAATGGAAATGGATCGGTGGGTGCATTTGGGTCGCTAATCTTAGCCAGAGAGCTCAAAACACACAGAATCACAGTATCCCATCAAATCAGAAAAAAATAAAACAAGTCTTTAGTTGTCCTTTGTATAAAATATCCCCAACCCGACAAAATCAGCACACTTGGTAAGCATTTTGCACTGCGGCAAAACCTTTGTTGCATGTTGCGCCTCTCCCCGCTAACCTGCTGCTGTTGCTGCTGCTGAAAAAAAACGCCTAATCCCAAGCTTGGAGTTGACTAAATGACAAGTTGAAACAATTAATGAAATATACAAAGACACGAAAATATTATATATGTAACACAAGTTATGAAAGCTACATTTTATAAATATAATAAAATCAGTAACTTAAATCGGTAGTTAGTGAGAATGATAAAAGTTTATTTAGCAAAAAAGAAATATTAAATTTGACACGAACTCAGTTTTTGTGATGTCATCGAATTTCAACAGATCTTTGCTAAAAACTTAGGAGCATAAAAAAAAATTAATTTTATGAAAAAACTCAATCTTAGTCCAATCGTTCCTAGGAGAATTATAAAGATATAGTTGTCTGATATTAATTGGACTTCAATAGAATGAAAAGAACATTTTTAATTTTCAAGTTTTATAAAAATGAAATAGTTTTATCTATATTATTATATATTATATAATAACTTCTGAACTGTCAACAACGAAGATACTGATTTGACTCAAGTTTCATACAGCTTCTATTTTATTTTAATTGAGTTACATATATACACACATACATATTATAAATAATGATTCGCTTAGCAATGCTATAATTATTATTTTGCCAATTAGTTTTTGTTAAAGTTAATGTTTTTATGAGTTGATTTAAAAACCATTTTAACTGCTACCAACTAACTCATGCCACATATGTTGTAGAGTATGGCCGCATTATTGACCCTTAACTAATCGGTTGCTTCCTCTCATTGCCACAGCGAGATGCGTCATGTGCGCCGTCCAATGCCACCGCAACGCGGCACCAGCGGCAAGTCGTCGTTCAGCACCCGTCCATCGAGCAGAAATCCGGCGAGCAGCAATGCGAATCCCTTCTAACATAAGATCAGCGTGCAGCGTAAGCTTTTGGCTTTGGTTTATACTTTGCTTAAGTTATAAATTCGTTTTGGAGGAGCCTTGTTGTGGATAAACCGAAGAACAAGAACAATTGCAGCCAGCACCACCTCCCCTCCTTCTCCTCCTCCGGACACACAACCACACACACAACCACACACACACACCCACACACACGCATGATAGAGAGAGAGCGAGCGAGATCGAGAATACTGTTGATGTATTATTGGGGGAAAGATGCTATAGCTACGATCTATCCTATTATTAATGATAAACGATTTGTATCTGTTTCTATATTTGTATTTATTGAGAGTTTAGTTAGACGAAAGTTTTGTGTTAGGCGTAATTAGACGCAATACGAACAGTTATTAACGGTTAGTTACTTAAACGTCCAATTAATTTAATTAACAATTTGAGAAAGAGAAAACGCAATTCTAATTCTAACATAAATAATTGTATTTTTCTATACATACAAAACACAAAAACAAAAAGAAAGAAAACAATTTGTAACGTTTTAGTTTGATTTAAGTTGAGTTTTGTTAACTTTCGCGTTGATTGTTTTGATTTTTGTTATCAACGCTGTGCGCAAGCGAAACTGATAAAAAACAAAAAAAAAACTAAAACGATATACAACATTTTGATAAGATGATGTTTGGAACGAAACAAACAAAAGATGCAACAAGTCTATTGGCAAATGGAATGTATTAATTAGCCCAATAACTAAATGAGTATTTTTCAAATGGGCTGCTGATGAAGGCCAAAAACTGTTAGGGGCAGCTAAAAACTCAAACTAGAGCAGCTAAAACCGACCCCAAATCAAATGTAAATTATACATAAATTATATATATATACATATATATATATATATACATATGGAAAGCAACTATTGTACTATTTGTAGCAATGGGCTGCGTCTTAAAGACGGATTATTTTTTGTATTTACTGTGGCCGCCTTTAATTGAAATTGTAGTAAATTAATTATTGTTTGTTTTTGCAATCACAAAAGAAAACATAGTTTTTTGTTTGCTTAGCTTACTGCAAAAAAATTTATATATAATTTGTGCATTATTATTTAATTTAATTAATAAAAATATATAAAAAAATACAACAACAACAAAAGAAAACAGTTCTCATTAAGAAAACGATTTTAGCGAGAATTGTTTTCAATTGGATTTTAGCATCCACAACATATTTATTTATGCAGCTTGTTGCACAAGTGCTGGATTGGAATATGTTGTTGCAACAAGCTGTTTTATGATACTTTGCATAGAAATACACAGCCTTTAAAATAGAATACTCTATTATGACTAACGAGCAGCTTAACCAACATAAAATAGCAAACAAAGCGTTAAAGTTTAAACTAATATTATTATTATCTTATCATTATAGTAGCCAATTAATTAAACACACACAAAAACTCACACAAAGTAGCGACTACAAAAAACAGCACGTTTTAATCACCCAACCCCTCCAAAAGTAGCAGTTTTACTCTACCCCCCAAAAATATAATGCAAAATGTGTTGCTTAAATTTGTGTTTTCAAATATGTTTCGTTTTTGTAATGGAAAAGATTCAAATTGAAAAAGAAAATTGACAAACAAAATTGAGATATACAAATGCGTATATTGTGTAAATTTACCGAGCCATTAAATTGAATTTATATTTAAGACACACACACACACACTCAGACATTTTCACATCGTCCACTCACATATAAAGCAGAGATCAACTGATATCCGTCAGTTGCCTATAGAAATTATTTATGAGAATTTGTAAAAGTTGAAAAATGCATACATAAATATTTCAAAATGATTTTATTGTAATTTTACCGTCCCTTTTTGCAAAAACATATGAAAGATGAACAAATATCTATATATATTTATGCAACTCACTAAAGCAAACAACCAACAAATACAACTTTAAGTTTCATATGTCCAAACATCCAAAACATAAATACATCAGTATATACATACATACATCTAAATACATACTAACGACCCAACAAGCCAAAATATTGATAGCCAATACAAATACAAAAAAGCAAAAACACAAAAAAAAAAAAAAACATATGAACTATTTCAATTAACAACAAAAATAATAGTTTTCTATTTCACAAAAAAAAGTTGAAAAAAACAAAACAAACTTAAAAGTAAAAAGCAATTGAATTTAAGATTTGAAGGATACTTAATATAAGTTTTATGATAGCAAGCGAAACGGATGGCAAACCAACAATTTGCCAGTGCTGGTAACAGTGGACACACATACATATGAGAAATGCAACCGAAATGGAAACAAACAAAACAAGAAATTAACATAAATTATACATATGTGAAGAATAAACAAATTAGCAAATAAATTTCTCTTCTTTTATTCTAAATATGAGTCGGAAAAGTAGCATACTTTTAGGATGAAACATTAAGTCGCTGGATGAATTCTCTTTGAATAAGTGAAGCATGCTTTTAGGGACACACGTGCGACAATAGTAAAACGGATATTGCTCGATTGCAACCTTACATATTTTCGAAGGATATGGTGGGTTAGCATCACATGGCCCAAATCTATCGAACTGCATTCAAGGATTATGGTGTCATCTAAGAACCCAAAACACTTGCAGGGCGAACGGAATCGAGTCGAAATCAGAATATCCTTGTTTTCTCGCAAACTACAAGGACAATTGGAATGTCCTTTGTCCAGACGGTAGTAGAGGATCGAATCGAATTGTTTGACATAGGACTTGCCCGGATCCACTATGATATGACCGGGTTATGAACAGTTTTATGTTATTCCTCTTTAGAAAAAAATAGCTCCAACTCGGCCAAATGTGTACAGTTTTTCGAAGGATGCGTTAGAATCGTTAGGACGAGCTCCCTCGAACTGCATGCAAGGACTATGGGGTCACCTAGGAACCCAAACACTTGGAAATTTCACACGCGATGCGAACAAAAATGAGCTGAAATCAGAAAATGTTTGTTTTGCCGAACGATTCGACGAGTATCCATTGGCCAGCTAATAGCGCTGGACAGCACAAGCTCTTTATAAGATCGGCACATGTTGTATATAGTACACATACTGTGCGTCATAATAAGTGCACTGATCCATATTTATAGTTCACGTACATATGGCATTGGCCTTGAATTAGCTAATTAAACAAACAGGCGACTTTGCGGTGATCGTCAAACCAATTCGAGTAAGATTCAACTCCAAGTGCCAAGCAAACTTAATATTCAAAATAACCAAAATGCCAGGCCAAATGAGTTGGCCGCAAAGGCAAACTGAATGATGATATTCACAGATAGATTTGATTGCCGTGTAACTTGTAAATGATTCCCCATTACGTTATCGATACCGATTCCAAATCACCGGCGATGTCTAAAAGTCACGCGCCATCGTCACGCGGCGAGCAAAACTACCGATATTTTAGCCAGGCGAACATAAGTCGCCAGCAGCACGACGATGCTCTATCGAACAGTCGACAAAACAAACCAATTGCTCGACAGCCGGCAGCAGCTACAAGCACACACACACACACACACACATACAGATAGACATGAAGAGAGGGAGAGACACAGTTTTGCACTCAACGCATACACACACACATATATACAAGCACACACGCACACTGGCGCATATGCAGAAACGAAAATTGAATGCTGAGTCAGTGTCGTCGTTTGCCTTCTGCTGCCGCTGCTTTGGTTGGTGGTTGCTTGCAGCGCCGTTTCTATACGAAAAACCAGTGACGTATGTCGGGGGTTTACGCCCTTCCACGCTGTGGCAGACAAATAAATAATAAATAAATTTGCAGTGTGTCCGTGTGTGAAGCAAAATATCCCTTTTAGTGTGTGTTATCCCTTTAGTGTGTGTCGAAATATGGTTGATATGTTAATACATTTTTAATATATAAACTAAAATGGTTTTTCAGATCAGTTTGATAATTGATTTTCGGAATTAATAAATATATTTTATTCTTTACTTTATAAATTGTGTCAGAGTTGGGAGAAATAAATAATAAATGAATATGCGATGTGTCTTGTATGAAGTAAGCAATGTATTCCTTTTAGTGTGTGTTATTTATTTAATTCTTTGGAAAACCTTTCAAAATTTGGATAATACATTAATAAATGATGTTTACTAAACTAAAATTAATGTTCAGCTCAATTTAACAATCGATTTCATATATTAATATTATTAAATTTAAAATTTCGTTCTTTACTGCTTTATAAATGTTCTCAGAGTTGTCACATTTTGCAGCTAAACTCTTTTAATTTCAAGCTTCACTTGATAAATAAAATTCATATTTAAAATGTAATACCGAATTCGTTGAAAATCCCCCTGCAAAGAGACTACAAATTGACTACGCGCCTGGGAATATCGCTTTATTGGTTGGTGAGCCGTCGCCCAGTGGAACTTCGAAAATTTTGTGTTGTCGAATTGCACAAACCGAAGAACAGGCGCACAGCAATGTGTACTGGTGCCCGCCATGATATAGTTGGATGGCAACTCTTATTGGCTGCCGTCTCAGCTGCTGTCGCTTGGCGCGCTTAACGCTGTGATGCGCGCACACAGCCATAAAACGTTCTCTACGTGTGTGTGTGTGTGTGTTCATGCATGTGTGTGTATGCTTGTGTGTGCATGCATGTGTGTGTGTGTGTGTGTGTTTGTCGCTGTATTGTTTTTAAATGATAGCGGCCGGGCAGCTAGTCAGCTGTTACTGTTACTGTGACTGGTGCGACAGGCGCAGACCAACCAGAAATGCTTTAAAGAGGGATAAAGACCGGCCCAATGGCCAGTAATCAGCTCAACTCAACACTGGTACCGAAGGGCAGCAATTGCATCATCATCAGTAGCAGCTCTCCACCATTCCCCCTCATCCTCATCAACATTAAGCGCTCCCCGTCTTAGTTGGTTTTCATTGCTGGTTTCAGGTTGCTTTAAATTGTATTGCATTTGGATTTTTTGCAAAAGGCTCTATAATTTTTGTGGGTGGAGTTGAAATTGAAATCGCTTTGAAATATATCTTTTAATAAAAGCAGAGTTCAGTTGCCGACTTTATCGTATTCAAATTGTGTGCTTAGTGATGCATATCATCATTTAATTAATACTTTGAATATTTATTGGCAGAAAGTTAATTGATTAAGCTGACTATTCAATTTATTTCTAATTTATTTAACGTGAAATCAATGAATAAGCTGTAAGCAATATAAATCGATTGTGGTTTTAAGTTTACTATTAATATATTTACATATGTATGTATTTATATATTAAATATTTTAAAATGCATTTGATTTGCAGTTTCTGCTTTTTACTTCATGCCTTGCCTAATTAAAATTTAGCTAGCCAATTTGCACAGTAATTTTCGCACACCTCTAAAATGACCTTCACAAATTGCATGCCTTCTATATATATATATATATACATATTCGTGTGTGTGTGTGTTTGTGCACAGAGCTGCCAATTATGTGGGTGGAGTTGAAAATCATATCGCATTGGCCATTTGTGTACTGCGCCTCCTT